TGAATCTGGTTTTTTGTTCCAGAATACTGGAAACCGGCGGGCATCAACGCCCACACCAGAATTGAAAGGAATCGAAGAGGAGACTGAAGAGGGTGATCAGGGGAAGAGTGAGACTGGCGCGACCGCAAAAAATGAACCCAGCGAGAAAGAAGAGGTTGTAACATGTAAGTATGTTCAAGGAAACTTCATTGATTTGCTTCACTTAGTCTTGATTGTGATTGGTTTGAAATGTCGCACGAGTTTTATTGACCTATCAAGAGTAGCATTGGGTTCAAAGGGAAAATAAGTGAAGTATTTAATGCTATTTTCGACATTCAGTTGAAATCGCTCTTTACGCCTTTTGATTGAACATTGCACGAATTACGATCGAAGTGATTATTTACAATAAACTTCATTATCTGGCATAAAACGCAGACTTCAGAAGTATTCTCCTTTTGGAGTATTTTTACGTGACGTCCCTTTTTGACTTGTTTCCAGCCTCCTCCCCACCCAGAGAAGGAAAAGCTAGGAGACCGTCGCCTTGGTTCACGGGAGGCAACCGACGAACAGATAGCGAAGGAAAAGACGAGAAACGAAACGACGCACAACGAAAGAACAGTGATCATAATGACTCAAGATCAAACCACGGTAACGGAAGCAAACAGCAGGGCCGACAAGATCAGAGGCATCGTAGCGGAAGTAAACCTCAACAGCAAAGGCAACAGTCACAACCAGTACAAAGACCCCGAGGAAATAGCGGCGGCCAATTCCGGCCGAGCAGTGGAAGTCTTTCGGCGAATTGGAGAGAGCGCCAATCTGAGCCAACGCCCAAGGAAAAAACGAAGGAAGTTGAGGTTAAGAAAGATAGTGAAAAAAGCACGGAGCGCAAGATCTCTAAGGGAGACGACGAGAAGAAAGCAAAAGGAACAGAAGAGGTAAAACAAAATGGAGAAGCGAAGAGCCCGGATGAGAAACCGAGCGGGCCTGTGAGCGATGAAAAGCCCGCTGACGCATGCGCGGCTAAAAGTAAGACTCCGCAAACTAAGAGAAACGTTCAAGAGAATTGAGAGGAACTTGTGTGGAAACCATTCCTTTGATGTAGAAAATTGTACAGACAGATAGAACTCTATCTATCTATTGAATTATAACAACTAATTTATCGATGGATCAGATCTCGGCCTATTCAATTTTACGCACAGTACCTAATCTACAGCTGTTCTGTTCATGCATCAAGCGAACGATCTCATTTTTAAGTAATGATCTTTATTGATCTTGCCAACTTCATGGTGCTGTGAGTTTTTAAAAATCCTCAATCAATCAAATACTGTTACAAACTACATCCACCCGTACTTCTTACTCTTTGGAAAGGTATGACTCTTCTTTCGCCAACAGTGAATAGTCAAAGGACTTAAGATTGAAATCGCCAGATCCGAAATGATTTTGAATTGATATTTTTATAACTCGATGCAAGTTACATCTAAGTGATGTAAGGAATAAAATTACGGGCAGTTAATGATACGATGTACTTTTTTGCTGCATTTCATCCCTAAATCACAACCCAAAGCTAGATATTGATATTTTCCCGTCTAGCCCTCTCACTCAGCCAATAACCTCATCGCTCTGTCAATAACTACTGACATTGCATGTGCTTTTATCCGGTTTTTATTTCGGAGAAATCATTCTTAAATGACACTTCGCAAGTTAATCATTTACTTCATCTTCTCGTATACGATATTACAAGAGATAACACTCAGCTGCATTTCAGTGTCGCAATTCGGATTTCACTTCAGATTATATTTTGAACAATTTCTTGCGATGTAAAATTAAGAAGCTTCCCAATTGTTTTAATCAATCACACGTTATCCTCTGAGTTTTTGCAACAAACTCCACCCAGTTCCGATACCAATATGCCAAATGTAACTTGTCTTGTTCAATGCACGTTTTTGACGGATAAGCTAGAGCCAACATTTGATTGAATAGGAAAATAATTTTGCTTACATTTGTATATTCATGTCAATATTTCGCACAAGAAATGAAAGTTAAGTTGCAGTTTAAAATACATTACCATTAAAAATATAGGTTTTCTTCTTTGATTCAGATTTCCTTTAGGAGCACTGCTTGTTTAAAATACACACCGAGAGCAATAACCTACTCTGGTCTTCTTAGATTAAAATTTTTTAAGTAATTGCAAGTTCCAATGCCTCGCACCGCATATTCGCCCCAGTCTACTTACGGTACACACTCGAAAGAGGCGACACGGTAACCGTGACTTTGTTGTATTGTGTGACAAATTGATCACTTCCCTCGAAATAACAAAGCTTTCCCACTGCGATATTGCAGAACTCCGTTGAAAGAAAACGAGGAATTTATAGTACTTCTCATCTATCTGTCTCATCAAATTGATGACCACAGCCGCAATTCGGTGATTCAAATCTTTGTAACGCAATATTAACTTTGGAGTTGCCTCTAGCAATCGTAACCAGCCACCAGGCCAGTCCGCGCGATGTCAATTTTTTTCACTCGGCCTCAGGCCCTTCCTCGTCGTCGTCTTCAGATTTTTGTTCCTCTCCCTGTTCCTGGAATTGTACTAGCTGCGCATGCCTGTTCACAGCTTGGCCAGAAGAGTACAACACTTTTTCAATCACACCAGATTTCGGGGCCCGAATTACGTGCTGCAAAAAAAACAAAAAAAAATGGTAATTCCTTGAAAATCACAAGCATTTTTCGCTCACGGCTTCCCATATGTCGCGTCAAGGACACTCCTTTGAGCCAGTCAGGCGACAAAGAAAATGAAATGACCTAGATTATATTTCCAGCGCTGGAAACAGTTTGCAACTGGTTTGCTTACCATTGAGCGGGAAGGCCTACACAAAACAAAACGTGTATTCGTTCAAAGAAATTAAATTGAATTTCCAGCGCTGGATACAGACTGCTTACCATTTAGCGGTGAAAGGGTAATCAGGTCATGCAACTCACGGTTGAGCAGCGTTGCTTTAAGGCCTATCCTCTTCTTTTATCGATTTTCCTCCCTCCCCTCCCTCTTCACCCTTTAATTTTACTGCAGTCTTAGTAAAAACTATCGGCAAAAACAGAAATCTTCCTTACCTCCATTTTCATAGCTTCCATGACAACTAGCGTCTCGCCCTCTTTGACCGTCTGTCCTGGCTCCACGAAAACCTGCGCCAAATATTAAAATAGTAGCGTGTCATACCAACAGCAGAGGATAATTTTACCATGCTTGAAAAAAAAAAAACTGCAGACGTGAGAATCTAATGATTCCAATTCTATTCCACTCGACGGTTTTCGGAAGTTCTTCGTCGTTAGCGTCTCCCTTCCGAAGGGAGCCGAAGAGACATCCGAAACGGGTGAGCTCGGAATTTCAAGATTGCGCACACGAAACTTAAGGTCTTCAAAACATTTCACTTCTTGAATAGTTAAGCGATATTTTTTCATCTTTTAACACTTCACGAATTTCGCCGAAAAAAAAGGACTTAAAGAGAGTCAATGCTCTAGTAAGGCTCAAAGAACATTTTCGAAGAGGTTTTGCCTAATAATTGTAACCTCACCTGTCTTCCAAAAATTGTCAAAACGAGGAAAAGGTGGGGGGGAGAGAAAGTATCGCGTGACGTACCTTTACAACAGTGCCTGTCATTGGTGCTACCGCGGAACCTTGGGAGACAGCTGATGGACCGCCCC